ACATAACATAACATAACATAACATAACATAACATAACATAACATAACATAACATAACAACATAGTATGATTTTTATAATCTTCCATTGTTTTTTAAAATTTCTTCTCCCACCCCCACCTCTTGACAATATTTTTAAACAGGAAAATATGCTCCCCAGTGCCTTTTGAGTGGAAGTCTGGCTGGCTCTACAATCCACATTACAGATGGCCGTGGGATACACATTTCTTCCCAGTTTAATCTCTTTACTCCTGTAATGCTTCTTTTTCTTCTGATTACAGCACAGTCTTCAAAGGTTCTGCTGTCTGCGTGTATCACATGAATGATATCCGTAGAGCTTTCCTTGGTCCTTTTGCTCACAAGGAGGGGCCTAACTATCAGTGGGTTTCCTATCAAGGCCGTGTCCCTTATCCCCGCCCAGGAACGGTATGTACATTGGATTTTGAGATCTTGAAATGTGGGGGGGGGAATGTTTCCACCCATGAAAACTCTAGAGATTGGGGTGATTATTGGGTGATCCATACCCAGGAAGGAGAGGGATCTGTACTTGTGGAGTTTTGCTTTTGTTCTAGGAGATTCTTGGGATTTGGCAAACAATGAAGAAAGAGATCAGAAGGGAAGGGCAGCAACTGAGCAGCGTGGAATGGAAAATTATTATGGGATTTGATTGAAATGGAAGGAAAGCAAAAGATAGAATGAAAGCCAAGTGGGGGAAATGGAGGGCTGTGGTAGATTTTATGAGTGGACCATTTTATGACATTTTTCAATGTTTGGGACGTTGCCTCTCTTTACATTCCTTCTCTCTGAATTTCTAGTGTCCCAGCAAGACATTTGGCACCTTTAGTTCCACCAAGGATTACCCTGATGATGTGATCCAATTTGCTCGTAACCACCCATTAATGTATAATCCAGTACTGCCCCATGGCCAAAGGCCGGTCTTCCTGCAAACCAATGTGGACCACATCTTCACTCGCATTGCAGTAGACCGAGTAGCAGCTGCTGATGGACATTATGATGTCCTCTTCATTGGCACAGGTATGTGTGCTTCCCTCCTCTTCCGATGAGTAAGCATAGATGTTCAGGGCAAGTTTATGTTTGCTCCCCAAAACTGCATGCTAGGGAATGTCCCCAGTGGTGGGATTCAACCGGTGTAACAACCACTTCGCTGAGCATGTGCTTCATGCAGTGGGTTTGAAAACAAATGAAAAACTTACCTTCTACTGCCCCGATGAGTAAAACAACTAAGGCGTGGCAATCCGCTCTGCCATGCTTATCAACTGGGCTGTAGACAAAGAAAATAAATATCAGTATAGTGCAGGGGAAGGCAGGCAGGCCCACCTGATCATCGGAGCAAACCGGTTCACTCTCAGCTGATGGTTAGAGCTACCGGCTTACCCAAACCGATCCGAATCGGCTGAATCCCACCCTTGGATGTCCCTTGTTCAAAAGTAAAATGTTTAAGTCCTTCTTCAGTTTTGGCTCATAGCTTTGAGGAAGCCTATTTATTATAGCAGAACCAAATATAGATCAGAGATGCATAGGCAAACACAAGTTGCCTCTAAATTGTAACTTTAATATGTTAGAAGAAAGAAGTCCTCAAGTTCATGCAGAGAATACCTATTAGTTGTGTTAATGAATTGAATGCTGTTTGAATAAAATCATGTATTGTGATTTTTGTTTCTCCTAATACATCACCTTCATTTTCTTGGGTCTTCCCTTTTTGAAATACAGCTCCTAGCACCCTGTCCAAACAACATTTTAAGCCTGATTTTACTCTTTCTTCAGCCACCGCCTGCAGTTTCTTTGCTTTTTCCACTGATTTTTTTCTTTCAATGCTATATATTTGCATACGTATAATACATTAATTTGAAAACATATATACGACCAAAGCAGCCGTAAACAACCAAGACTCCAGCACAACCAGGACCCCAGGAAACATGCATTTACTTGTGATTCAGACATAGGCAATCATCCCATTAGTGTGCTATAAATGAAGCACAAAATGATGTTTGGCCCCCATGGTGTAAATAAGGATTGTAACCAAATCCTTACTAACTCAGAACTGTATGAACTCAAGTCCTAGCCATGTAGATGGCAAGAAGTTGGAAAAGATTCTTGGATATGAAAACTACAACATAGGGAAAAAATACTTCATCCACATTGCAGTCTTGATCAAACAGGACCCCGTAATAGCTGCGATACCACTTTTATTTGCAAATGCTGCAGGAAATATGTTCCTGACTTCCTGCATCATAAATCATGCCCCAGGCTGATGGTCCAACTTCTCATTGGTTCTGTGATGCAGTGAATTTAGCAAATCAATAGATATTGAAATCAAGGCCCTTGGAAATAGTAACCAGCAATATTAAAGTTGCTTTCCCAATCAGATGCACTCCATTGACGCTGAACAACCGTCAACATATTTGTGTTTTGTATGTAAATTGATTTGCATGGCTTGAAACTTCCATGTTTTCTCTTTGGCTATGGAGGAAAAACAGGACTGTGGTTTAGCCAACCCACCTGCCTATAATCTCTTTTTTGTGCAAAATGGTTATGCTTTCCCTTTGCCTTGCAGACATTGGCACAGTCTTGAAGGTTGTCACCGTGCCGAAGGATTCAAGGCAAAATATGGAAGAATTGCTGCTGGAGGAACTTCAGGTGTTCAAGGTGAGTTTGAACAAATGAAGTCAGCTAGTTCAACCTGGGGCAAGAATAGCTGCTTTTTAAAACAATATTGAATTATACTTTATTCACATAATATAATTACGATAGCTGCTTCTCCCGTGGTTGATGGAATTAACTCAGTTGCTTATATTCTCTGAGAAGCTAGGCTAAATTATAATTAGCTAGTTTGTAGTTCAGAGGTTGGTATCAGAAGGGTACTTAATTGGACCAAGGAAAATATTAATATGTTGAGAGAACACCAAAAATGTTGATCCAATCATTTAATCTCCTAGAGTTTGAATTTAACCTCAATCTCAATTGCTAAACCTAAATTGACTGTAACATAGGAATACCATTTACCCTTACTAGGACTCTCCTGATGCAAGGCCTCCTTGGTTACTGAGCACTTCCTAGAGCAAGGGACTCAGGGTTTTGCATTCCCCAGAATGACTTTGGTTAAATTAATGGGAATGTGCAGTGCATTGGGTTTGAAGGTTGCTTTAGAACAAATGTGTGTCTGTCTGTCTGTCTGTCTGTCTGTCTGTCTGTCTGTCTGCCTGCCTGCCTGCCTGCCTGCCTGCCTGCCTGCCTGCCTGCCTGCCTGC